AGCCAGCCAACCAACCAACCAACCAACCAACCAACCAACCAACCAACCAACCAACCAACCAACCAACCAACCAATAAATAAATAAATAAATAAATAAATAAATAAGAAGGGGATGACAGAGGACGAGATGGTTGGATAGTGTCATCGAAGCTACCAACATGACTTTGATCCAACTCCAGGAGGCAGTGAAAGACAGGAGGGCCTATCGTGCTCTGGTCCATGGGGTCACGAAGAGTCAGACACAACTAAATGATTAAACAACAACAACATGTTCAGCACTGCAGGGCTTTATGAGCCATCAGGACCACCTGTTTGGAATGGTTTTGCCAAAGATGAAACACCAGAGTGTGTGAGAGTCAAACTATATGGTACATTTTAGCACAATTTTAGATGAGGTGCTCCCTCAAGTGATGAAAGGGGTCTCTTTCTCAGGGTTCATTATTTCACCTCACCTATGTAATTACCTCATTTTATTTTGCAGCTGGTCCTTGAAAGGCAAACAGAGGCTTACTATAATTTGCAGGTTATTGAGGCACGCATATCTAACAAAATGCCGGTATATGAAGGAGAGTGGCTAATTGGGAAGAATAGTCATTCTCCATTATGTCTACTTTGACACTCAGAGGCTTGAACCACAAGAAAAATAATCTTTTTGAAACTGTAGTAGTAGCTGCTCTTTCTAAACTATCTCTTTGGGGACAGTCTTCTTAACAAAGCAGACCTGATGAGAAAAGCACTTATAAACAAGTTTACATCTGACAGGGAAGTATGAACAATGGAGAGCTTCACATTGCAATTCATTTCTTCACACCCACATTGGAGTGTGGGCAAGGGGATTGTTGAACAAATTCCACTTATCACTGTTCAAGCATCTGGGCTTGAGAGTGTTTGCGGTGCAGTTGATCATTATCCAGAAATGTCCAGGAAACTCACGGCAGACACAGGATTGTGCATCTTCCAGCAACCTATTCCTGCATATCTTTTATTTCTGACACATCTTGCAGCCTCAGACTCTGCACTTGGCTGCCTCTGACTTCAACTCAACAGACGGTTGAGAAGCTCTCCGGTTTCTTTTGATTAGCATCCTTTACACCCAGGGCTCTGTACTGAATAACTAAGCCAGCAGCCATGTGCCTCTCACAGCTATTTGCGGATTTGAATCAGCTCTTTACACAAAAGAAATAATTTCGCACACAACGCAGCTATTTGCGGATTTGAATCAGCTCTTTTACACAAAAGAAATAATTCTGCACACAACGCGTGTGCACGCGCGCACACACACACTCACACGCACTTAAAACATATTCTGTATGCTACAAATGTCATATTATGCCAAGATTTTTGTGCAGCCAGCTTCATTTCATGTTGATAACCAAATCAGAAGTTGATTTAAAATAAAAATCTTACTGTTCTCAAAAGGCATTTTCAAGAAGTACTGTTCTATTACATTGGGAAAGGGTTTTTAAAGGGATTTTCAAGAAATGATAAAGATTTCCCATTGCAATCCTATGTACGGAAGCTCCATTGAATTCGCCAAGGGCTTTACTAAATGTTGACCCCATATTTCCTACACTTAATGTTTTCTTCTCAGACTTCAAGTTATGTTACATTACCGACAGCCTGCCATTAGCAGATGAAATCCATTAGCAGGGATGGGGACTCAAGTCATGGGACTTGCTGTCAAGTTGGACTTAAGTCACACTGGTGACTCAACACGGACTCAAGTCTTGACTTGGAACCCAACTCCTCCTCCTTTTTTTCTGGAGAAAAGAGCTTTTTTAAAAAATAGGGATTTGGATTTGAGGCTTGGGACTCGGGACTGCGTACCAAAGACTTGGGACTCAGACCCAACGACTTGTCAACATCCCTATCCATTAGTATTCTAGAAACATTCAGGCAGAACTTAATGACTGGGGAATCATATTTACAAATGAAGCCCATGTTTGCCTCCCAATGGCCAATTACAATACAAGGCGAGCAAACTACAGGGTGTGCGAAAAGCTAACACTGAGACATACTCAGCACTTTGAGAATTCCCTCTTTTAACAACATATTATTATCTGTAGGGGATGTGGTGGCGCTGCGAGCTAAACCGCAGAAGCCTGTGCTGCAGGGTCAGAAGACCAAGCAGTCGTAAGATCGAATCCACGCGACGGAGTGAGCTCCCGTCGCTTGTCCCAGCTCCCGCCAACCTAGTGGTTTGAAAGCATGCAAATGCAAGTAGATAAATAGGGACCACCTCGGTGGGAAGGTAACAGTGTTCCGTGTCTAAGATTGTCTCCGGACAAACGCTGGCTCTATGGCTTGGAAACAGGGATGAGCACCGTCGCCTAGAGTCAGACATTACTGGACAAAAATTGTCAAGGGGAACCTTTACCTTTTACCTATTATCTGTACTGTATAATTTGGTCCCTACTCCCTGTTTTTGCTGCGGCAGTCTAACATGGGAAATTTATCATTCTCAGAAATTATCCGTTGTCTCATTATACCAAGATTATGCTCTGAAATTTCCCCCTGCTGCAGTGAGATTTTCTAGGTTCCTAAAATCCTGATTTAGGAGAATTGCCAAATTTTGTGAAACTCAATGCTGCTTCATGAGAATATTGCACACACAAAAATGGCACTTCGTATAGGAATTGTAATAATTATGCACAGATTGCTGTTTCTTCCAGAAAAAAAAATATGACTACAAAAATTTGAGAAATCATATGAGATTTCTTTTGGGATTTCTTGGGAAAAGAACCTCACACAATCTCACTGCAAGGAGAAAAGGGAGTATTCGTTTTCTTGGTTTGTTGATGACAAGAGGAGGCTGCAAGATTAACGACCTTAGTCTACTACAACTCTCCTTCTAATCAGTAGTTGGGATCCTTAATAATTCACTAGCCACAATTTTATAGCTGCTTAGTGGTTATAAAAATGCAGTAAGGGAAGAGTGAAGAAAAGAAGGATTCCTAAATGAAAAGCAATGTTCTTCTGAGTGCCTTTAGAGATGAATTGGGAGAGGTCACAAACAAAATTACTTGAGGAAATCTGCAATCACAATGTTTAGAAAATGAGGGACAGTGGTGCTGGGGTCCCTTGAAATAAAGTAAAAGTGCCCTTGTGCCCCCTAGAAGGCACAAGTAGAATTTTATGAACCTAGTAGCTTATTTCTTGTTAATTTTTTTGGGGGGAGGGAATATATAAGTCCATTGGATCCCTATGTACCCATTGGATACATGCTGCCCATCCCAGGCTTAGAGGGTCTCCAATGATCCTTTGCACAATGTCCATAGCCAATTCATATCCACATCACAAAATCCTCTTTTCTTTGACCCTCAGTGTATGTAAGCTGTTTATCTTTCATCTCATGGTGAAATAAATTCCTGTAGTCAAGCCAGGGTGCCTGAAAATAGCCTGTTACACTGAGCACTGATAAGCCCTGAGTCCAGTGCCACTCTTTCCTTTTAAGGGCCATTGCCTACTCTTGAGTTACATCCATGGGAGCTACAAGAGGACCAAGGCAGAAGTGCCATCAACGAAGCACTTAGTGCCAGCATATTGCACAATCTGTTGTGAAATAAACTGCACAATTGATTAGGCAATTGAATTGCATGGTCTGTGTTCTCTGAGTGTAATACCAGGCAGAGTTTTGCCTATGTAACTTTTATGTCGTACAGCAATGAATTGGATTCTGACCAATGAACCTGTGAACCCTGCGGAGGAGTCGAGCACAGCATGGGGATTTAAAAGAAGGTGCGGTGCCACTCTCTGAAATTCTGCTGGAGTGGGCTCCAACAGGAAGAAGAGCAAAGGGAAAATGAAGGAGGAGAGGCAGTGGAAGATGCAAGCTACACCGCCGACATGTAGCGCAAATGAAACCCTTCCCAGGTCAGCAAAGTAAGATCGAAATTTTGTACTGAAGCGTTCAGCTTTTGAAACGAAAGGGAATGCAATTTAAAAGCTAATGTGTTATGTGCCTAGAACAGACACAGATGGTATCTTCAGAGGCAACGGGGGCAGATCAGTGTTCATACTGGAAATCCGAAGGATTTTAAGTATAAGACTATTTCAAATTTTTAAAAGTCAGGGACCAGTCCTAAGAACCTTTAATTTTTCCCCCTTTATGAAGAGACTGGTAATAGAGGGCAACTTTTCCTTTGTACTGGCACCACAACAACCTATTGTGTGCCACTATATCCAGTAACAAATGCCCTCCCAATGTGTGGATGCAAATACAACATTTGAACAATTTTGTTCATAGAGACTCTAAAACTGACCTTTAAAATTATTTAAGAAGAAAAGCTGGAAAACACTGCTCTGATACCAGAAATAGTAATTTTATTCCCACCCGATTTGTAACTTTTTAAATAAAACTTCTATTCAAATCTACAACAAGAAAATGGCCAGAGCAACGAAAGACAACAACCCTGTGTGGACGAGCCCTGGCAGGAAAGCTCAGGGTGTGTTCTAATCAGAGCTTGGAATCAGGAATATTCAAACTCTGTTGAACTGTAATTTTCTGGGTAAAAATAGTGTTAAGAAGTTTTATTTCAAAAGTTACAAATCAGGTGGGAATGAAATTACTATTTCTGGTATCAGAGCAGTGTTTTCCAGCTTTTCTTCTTAAATAATTTTAAAGGTCATTTTTAGAGTCTCTGTGAACAAAATTGTTCAAATGTTGTGCCATTCTTTTGTTTACCTCTTTGCTACAAATGGTTCTGATGTGAGAAAGACTCTGGATCTTTGTCCGAAAACCCAGCAGGTTTACACAGAATGTCTTTCATTTCTTGGTATTAACGTGCATCCCACTCTTCAGGGATACACTTTTCAGGTGAGCTTAAAATGAGGAAGATTTTTCAACACAACTGAAATTATCAGAAAAACTGGAACAGTGCAAATTGTTTCATGATAAATTCATAAAGCCCAGGGAAATAAAAGGGTGACAGAACTAGTTCCTAGTACATTTTGATTAAGTGTTGTTCCGTGAAGGTTCAATAAAGGAATGTTCGTTTTTAATTTTAATTTTGTTCCAGTGTAGAGAGAACTGATGTCATCTTCCTTTTCTCCTCCTCAAGAGCTTGGTTCAGCCTTTGGAAACCACAGGTTTCAACAGGCAGTGCTTTAACCTTCATCCAATAAAGTAGACTTACAATTATGCGGTGTAGTCACGTCTGGGTCAAATATTAGGTGAGTCTCTTGCACATTGCCATTTTCAAGAAGATTTAGACACATGAAACAATTTTATGGATTTGCCATAAAACAAAAACCTAAAACCTTTAGATGCGACGTGAGTATTAAAATCCATCTGAAACATAAACATACAAGGATAGTGTCACGAAATGAAATTACTTTACCTTTATTGTCTGCGTATTGACCATGAAACTGAACTGCTCTCTTCAGCGTGTTCAATTTGCTCTTGGAAACTTCCCTAAATCAAATTTAAAATGTTTGAGGGTTTCTCTGGAGGGCAAATGAAAATAAACAGCATAGCAAAACTGCTTGGAAGTGTCCAGTCAACAGTCATCAGATCTGAGACACAGAACAAGACATTTAGAAAATAATAAATGTGGCTTTTCTGGTTTGCTTCTGCAGTACGCTTGAACTGTTCCCCAGCACAGATGTGTGTGCACATGTGTAAGCGCATTAACAGACATACTCAGACTTGCAAGTATCCAAAACATTCTTTCCCCCTTCCTTTCTGTCCCTTCTCTTCTCCATAAGACCCTCTTCTCTCTCTCTCTCTCTCTCTCTCTCTCCATCCAACAAACTATTTAGCTTTTCCCTCTGTTCTGCTTCTTCCAATACGTATCTTACAAGACAAAAACGCCCTCTCTCTTTCTCTTTCTCTCTCTTTTTCATGAATCCATGCATTCATTATTATTTATTCTCCACCTTTCTCCCCAAAAGGACCCTAAGCAGCCTCTCCCCCTCCCTTTCTTTCTCCTTCTTTTTCCACGGTTCGAAGGGTGCAGATACACTTCTGAGGGAAGCTCCAAATGGAGCTAAGGCCCTCTGGAGACATAAAACCCTCAGGACTACACAAGGCTTCTCTAGGGAATCTTGGGAATATCTGCCACCTAGTGATTAATGGTGGTACTGCAAGAAACATATTTGATTTAATTAAAATAAATCAATTCATTTTAAAAACACAATACAGTGGTGCCCTACATAGCGATGTTAATCCGTTCCGGATTAATCATCGCTATGCAGAAACATTGCTAAATGGAACGGAAAAAGCCATAGGAACACTTTGTTTAATGCGTTCCTATGGCTCCCAAACTCACCATTCAGCGAAGTTCCTCCATAGCGCCGCCATTTTCGCGCCCTCGGTAAGCGAGGGCAGGGCGTGAAAACACTTGCGGCGCCCATTTTGGGCACCCGGCGGCCCTTTTGGAACCGCCGATCAGCTGTTTAAAAAACATCGCAATGCGCAACGCTTACCGATCATCGCAATGCGATGTTTTGCCTATTCAGAATATCGCAATGTGATCGCATTAGCAATCTAAAAAAATAGACCGCTATGCGGATTCGTCGTTAAACGGTGCACTCGTTAAGCAAGGCACCACTGTATCCAAAAAGTGCACTAAATAGCTAAATGGACTAAACGCCCTTTTAGTATTTCAGGTGCCTAGGTTTCACGGTTGTGCATCTATGGCTGAGACAGAGACATGGACACATTCTCTTTCAGAGACTAGAAAAGCTAATTGGGAAGTTGTAGCTTCCAGAACCCCACAGTCAGTGGTGGGGGATTCTGTGAGTTGTAGTCAATATGAATAACTTATGCAACTTGATTTTCACCAATACAGCAAAGTCAAGTCAGTGCATCTATGTCTGACAAAGAAGGTCATCATTCTGATTCAGTGTCATACGAATTAACTTGTGCGCATGCGCTGCCCCAGCTCTCATAGGCTTCCACATAGCCTTCAAGAGCGGGTATCTGCAGGAATTTTTCCAGGGCGAAAAGCTGTATAGTTATATGGGATTGTTATTATGCTTCTCTGTTTCTCCAGCTGGGGAGACAGATGTCAGGGCAAGCACCAATAGAGCAGTGGTGCCCAAACCTGGGTGACCCAAGTGTTCTTGGACTGCAGTTCCCAGAAGCCTTTGCTACCAGCTGTGTTGCCCAGGGTTTCTGGGAATTGCAGTCCAAAAACTCTTGAGTTACCCAAGCTTGGGAACCACTGCGATATAGGACAAGAATGTTTGTGTGTGTGTGTGTGTGTGCACGCGTGCGTGCGTGGTTTTATAGATCAGTCTCTCAGTCCATTCCCAGTGGACACCAGGGCTCATTTTCTCAGTACAACAGAGTGTTTATCTGTCTCGTGTTTGTAAAACTTTGGTCCACCGAAAGTCAGGAGTCAGAGGAAGGGGCTAGGAAGGCAGCTGCTGAGTGTAGGGACTTGGGCTTGTTTTGCCATTCAGAGCATTACTAGAGTCCATGGGCCATGAAACAACATGCCTTGCTCATGTTCTCATCACACAGACTGTATTTCTTGGTGAGTCCATTAGCAAAGCATCACTGACGAATTTCAGAGCCCCCTCTTCCTATAGAACAAAGTTATTCATACTTAAAAAATCTCTCTCACACACACACACACACACACACACACACACAGAGAGAGAGAGAGAGAGAGAGCAAAACTGCTATATACCAGAGATAAGGATTCCACCTGGCCTAGACCCTTCTCCCTGACACATAATTTTCCACACGGATGGTACTTTTGTATCAAATATCATTGTATTATGGAAGCTGCGCTCTCCCCCCCACCCCCGTGTGAAAGATTTGCCACTTCAGTTAGAACTCTGCCTCAGGATATCCAAAAGCATTTTAATGTCTTTGAACACTGAAATTACTGTGTCAACATAACCTCGGAGTAATTTCTCTTACTACTGCAGCCCAGTCCATTTTTCAGGTTGACTTTTACTATTTAGGCAAGTCCATCACCAAACTTCACATTTTCCATTTCTGTGTCGGAAAGTTTTGAATGAAAGAAAGCTCTCCCCCCC